AAATTTTAAAATTAAAAAAAAAGAAAATATATTTGAATAATGACAGAACACTTCCCTAACTTGATGAACAAAAAAAGGCATTGAAGTTCAAGAAACAAAGAAAGCCCCAAGTAAGAAGAACCCAAACAGGCACATACCAAATCACATAATAAATAAAATGCTAAAAATAAAAGACAAAGAGAGAATCCTAAAGGCAGCAAGAGATAAGGAACAGGTTACCTACAAAGGAACCCCCATAAGGCTATCAGCTGACTTCTCAACAGAAACACTACAGGTCTGAAGGGAATGCCATGAAGTAATAAAGGTAATGAAAAACAAGGATCTGAATCCAAGACTACTCTATCCAGCAAGGCTATCATTCAAAGTAGAAGGTGAAATACAGAGCTTCCAAGAAAAAAAAAAAAAAAAAAGGCTAAGTGAATATATTAGCACCAAACCAACACTGCAAAAAATGTTAAAGGGGCTATAATTAGCAGAAGAAATAGGAAGAAAAAATAACCACAATAAACAAAAAATGGCAATAAATAAGTACACATCAATAATAACCTTAAATGTAAATGGTTTGAAGACTCTGATAAAAAGACACAGAGTAGCTGATTGAATAAGAAAGCATGACTCACATATATGTTGTTTACAAGAGACTCACCTCACAACAAAAGACTGACATAGGTTGAAAGTGAAGGGATGGAAAAAAAAAAAAAAAAAAAAAAAACCTCTTCCAAACAAACAGAAAGGAAAAAAAAAGCTGGAATAGCAATACTCATCTCACGAAAAATAGACTTCAAAATGAAGGCCATAACTACAGACAAAGAAAGCCACTACATAATATTGAAAGGATCTATCCAATAGGAAGATATGACCTTGGTAAACATATATGCACACATTATAGAAGCACAAAAATATATTTAAAAACTTCTAGAGGACTTCAAAGGAGAAATCGACAGCAATACAATCATAGCAGGGGACTTCAATACCTCACTGCCATCACTGGATAGATCCTCTAGACAAAAAATTAACAAGGAAACAGAGACTCTAAATGATGCACTAGATCAAAAGGATTTAATAGATATCCACAGAGAATTATACCCCCAAACTGCAGAATTTACATTACTCTGAAGGGCACATGGGATATTCTCAAATATAGATCACATGTTGGGACAGAAATTAAGTCTCTACAAGTTCAAGAAGATTGAAATCATATGAAGCATCTTCTCAGGTCACAATGGCATGAAACTAGAAATCAATTACAACAAAGACATTTAAACACATGGAAGTTAAATAGCATGTTCTTAAACAATAAGTGGTTACCAAGGTAGAAATTAAAACCTTTTTGGAAACCAATGAAAATGAACACACAACAACACAAAATTCATGGGACACAGCAAAAGCAGTCCTGAGAGGGAAGTTCATAGCACTACAGGCCTCCATCAGGAAAGAAGAGAACTTTCTAATTGACTATCTAACTTCACAACTTAAAGACCTAGAAAGCAAACAAAAGGAACTACCCAGAGCAAGTAGAAGGAAGGAAATAGTAAAGATCAGAGCAAAAATAATATAGAGACTAAAAAAAAACCCAATTCAAAATGTCAATGAAACAAAGAGAAGAGCTGGTTCTGTGAAAATATAAACAAGATTGATGGACTTTAGCTAGACTCACCAAGAAACAAAGAGAGAGGACCCAAATAAAAAAAATCAGAAATGAAAGAGGAGAAGTAACAATCAACACCACAGAATTACAAAGGATCCTTAACAAATAGTATGAACAAGTATACTGCAACAAATTGGGCAATCTAAGTGAAATGGACAAATTTCTGGAAACACATAGTCTCTCAAAACTGAACCAGAAAGAGATAGAAAACTTGAACAAATCAGTAACAACAAAGGAAATTAAAGATGTAATTAAGAATCTCCCAGCAATTCAAAGCCTGGGCCCAGATGGCTTCACAGGGGAGTTTAACCAAACATTCAAAGAAGAACTAACACCCATTCTCCTCAAACTGTTCCCAAAAATTTAGAAAGAAGGAAGACTTCCAAACTCGTTTTATGAGGCCAGCATAATTCTAAATCCCAAACCAGACAAAGACACTACAAAGAAAAAAAAACTACAGGCCAATATCCCTGATAAACATAGATGCCAAAATCCTGAACAAAATAGTAGCAAATCGAATCCAATAATACATTAAAAAAATTATTCACCATGGCCAAGTGAGATTCATCCCATGGATACAAGGCTGGTACAATATCTGCAAATCAAAAATTGTGATATGCCACATGAACAAAATGAAAGATAAAAACCATATGACCATATCAATAGATGCTGAAAAAGCATTTGACAATATCCAGCACTGATTTCTGATAAACAACACTCAGCAATGTGGGAATGGAGGGGTCATATCTCGACATAATAAAGGCCATATATGAAAAACCTACAGCTAACATTATACTCAGTGGACAGAAACTAAAAGCATTTCCCTTAAGAACCAGGACAAGATAGGGATGCCCACTTTGGCCACTCTTATTTAACACAGTACTGGAAGTGTTAGCCACAGCAATTAAACATGAAGAAAAAAATAAAAGGGATCCAAATTGGAAAGGAGGAAGAGAAATTGTCATTATTTGCAGATGACATGATACTGTAACCAGAGAACCCTAAAGACTCATCATAAATCTACTAGATTTAATAAACAAATTTGGCAAAGTAGCAGGACACAAAATTAACATCAAGAAATCAACAGCATTCTTATACACCAATAATGAACTCACAGAAAGAGAACCTAAAAAAAAATCCCGTTTACCATCGCAGAAAAAAAATTAAGATTCGTAGGAATAAACTTAACCAAAGAAGTAAAGAACCTATTTGCAGAAATCTATAGGACATTGAAAAAAGAAAAGGAGGAAGATCTAAAAAAGTAGAAACATAATCTTGTTCATGGATTAAAAGAATTAACATAATTAAAATGTCCATACTACCCCAGCCTGTGTGGCTCAGTGGCTGAGCATCGACCCATGCACCAAGGGGTCACAGGTTCCATTCTGGTCAGGGCACATGCCCAGGTTGTGGGCCTGATTCCCAGTGGGGAGCATGCAGGAGGCGGCTGATCGATGTTCCCTCTTATCGATATTTTTTTCTCTCTCTCTCCCTCTCCCTCCCTCTCCCTTCCTCTCTCTGTGAAAATCAATAAAGAAAAATAAAAAATAAAATAAAATAAAAAAGTCCATACTACCCAAAACAATCTATAGATTCAATGCAATACCCATTAAAATACCAATGACATATTTCACAGAACTAGAAAAAATACTTCAAAAGTCTATATAAAACCAAAAAAGACTCTGAATAGCCATAGTCTTGAAAAAAAAAATGACAAAGTAAGAGGGATCACAATACCTGATATCAGGTTATACTACAAAGCCACTGTAATCAAAACAGCCTGGTACTGGTACAAGAACAGGCACATGGACCAGTGAAACAGAACAGAGAACCCAGAAATGGACCCAAGGTAATATGCTCAATTAATATTTGACAAAGAGCATACAGTGGAATAAAGACAGCCTCTTTAATAAATGGTGTTGGAAAAATTGGGACAGCTACATGCAAAAAAATGAAACTAGACCACCAGCATACACCATACATAAGAATAAACTCAAAATGGATAAAAGACTTAAATGTGACTAATGAATCCTTAAAAATCCTAGAAGAAAATGTAGGCAACAAAATTTCAGACATAACATACAGAAAAATTTTCACTGATACAACACTTAAGGCAAGAGAAACAAAGGAAAAAATGAATACATGGGACTACATCAAACTAAAAATCATCTGCATGACAAAAGAAATCAGCATCGCAATGAAAAGGGAACCCACTATATGGGAGAGCATAATTGCCAGTGATACATGAGATAAGGGGTTAATTTCCAAAATACTATATAAATATCCATGCAATTCAACAAAAGGAAGACAAAGATCCCAATTAAAAAATCAGCAATGGACCTAAATAGACACTTCTCCATAAAGAATATACAAATGGCCAAGAGACATATGAAAAAATGCTCAAGATTATTAATCATCAGAGAGAGGCAAATTAAAACAGCTGTGAGGTGTTACCTCACATCTGCCAGAATGGCTGCCATCAACAAATCATTGAACAACAAGTGTTGGCAAGGGTGTGGAGAAAATGGGACTCTAGTACACTGCTGGTGGGAGTGCAGACTGATGCAGCCACTATGGAAAACAATATGATGTATCCACACATAATGAAAAATTGATCTGCCATTTGATCCAGTGATCCCACTTCTAGGAATACATCCTAAGAAGCCTGAAACACCAATCAGAAAGTATATATGTACCCCTAAGATCTGGAAACAGCTCAAGTGTCCATCAGCAGATGAGTGAATAAAAAAGCTGTGGTACATATACACAAAGGAATACTATGCAGCTGTAAGAAAGAAAGATCTCCTATGATTTGAGACAACATGTAGAGACCTGGAGAGTATTATGCTAAGTGAAATAAGCAAATCAGAGAAAGACAAATACCATGTGATCTCACTTATTTGTGGAATATAATGAACAAACAAAGCTGATGAACAAAACAGATCCAGAGACATAGAAAAGAGTATGGTTCAGATTGACAAACCTCAGAGGAGAGGGGCAGGGGGAGGGATGAGATAAACCAAAGAATGTATATGCATGTCTGGGTAACCAATGAACATAGACAACAATGCTGGGGAGGGCGGGAGGCGGAATGTGGAGGAGGGTGTCAAGGAGGGGAAAATAAAGAAACACCTGTAACAAAAATAAATTTTTAAAAATTGCAAACAAAGTAAATAAATAAATAAAATTTAAGGTTATATTCTTAGCAATATTTAAAAATAATTCTAAATGTTTTATTTTTGAAGACTTATTAAAGAATGATAAACTACTGGCAATAGCAATTTAATGTAAATGTGAGGTATAATGAAGGTAAACTTTTATTCATAAAAAATGAACATAGAATAATACTCACCTATGTCAACATAAGGTTGCTGCCACGAACCCAATACCAAGAGGAATTCACAATCTGGATTGAGTTAAAAGAGGAACTTCAGGAGAACAATTTGCAAACTGGGGAAACACAGCCCCAGCTAAAAACCTAAAGTATCCTCCACCAAGAGGAAGGGGAGGGCAAGCTTTTGACAGAGAAGTTCCTGCCCTAGTTTCCAATTGGTTCATTTTTATGCATACAGGAATCCAACCCCCACAGTTCTGATTGTCCCAAACAGCACTGTCCTGATTGGTCAGCTTCAGGCACTTTAATTGGTCATTATGGAGCTTCTCTGATTGGTCAATACAAATGGAAATAAGGAATGGGTTGCACAGTTCCAAATGAAAGGGGCAGGTCTCAGAACATTCATTGAATGGCATACCAGGAACTCCCTTATAAAGGTCAGATTAGACAGCAGAGTACAGTTCAGAAGACTTGGAAGCTTAGTCTGTGGTATTTCCCTGAAATGTAGCACGTGTGAGAGGCCTCTGTTAGCAATTGCTGCTAGAATATGATTATAATTTTGGGACTAAGTACCCATAAGGATACCTTGGCAGGTATAGTCTTTCACAAAGTTCACACCTCTGAAGCTTATAATGAGATTAAATTATATATAAAATGCTAAACATCTTGCCTCACACATTGTCACTACTCAATAAATGTCTGTTACTATTATTAATATTATTGAAGTATCAAAAACAAACAAACATGTAATGGAAGGTCATATTTAAAATTAACTAGCAAATAATACAATCTGTGAACTATTTTTAACATCTATTCAAAAACATACATATCTGTTACATGCATAGAAACATTCAGAAAATGATTTGGAAGAATAAATGGCAAAATGATGACTTCTGGGAAGATGGGAGGGTAGTTGTCAAAGTGAACTATGATCTATAATGGTTTTTTAAAAGTATTTTTATATTCCTTCTGTAAATAAAGTTAATATTTAAAATAACAAGATAGAAAATATATTTAGACAACATGTTATCCTAGTAAATTTCTTCAATTCCATAGTTGATTTCAATATTACATTAAGAAGTTTACTTTTATTTTTAGGTAATTGTCCAAATGAGATCTAAAGTCTCATTTTCTTTATGAGAAAATACCATTCAAGCTTTATGGTACACATTGCTTTCAATAATCTTCCTAATGATATTCCTAATTGCTATATTAAAAATACCTGTTTGTACAAAAAATTACTTTAATATAGTTTTTAAATCACTTAACGTATTTAATCAAGGTGCAACAAGGCTTTCAAAGGCCAGAAAACGATAAATCAAAATAACTTTACATAAAAAGATTACTTTTCCTCTTAAATTTTGTATATGTCTATATTTAATATACCACATACAGAAACTGGAATCCTTGATTGTTTTAAAGCCAAAGTGTTGCCTATTTAAAATTATCCTAACAATTTCAAATGTCTTGAGGGGTGCCTTAATCAAAAATCTCTCCTTGTAGGAGGCTCCTCTTCCTAACTTCTAATTCTTGTCTATACCACATTGATAGTGGTTTTAAAAGTCTAATTTTCCTTCTAGTTTACAACCATAACTTTGATTTTTCTTTTCTTTTTTTAAAATCTTTATTGTTAAATGTAAAATGTATTACAGATGTTCCACATTTTTCCCCCATTGACCCCCTCCTCCCCACTCACACCCCCCTCTCACCTTTTCCCACCCTATTGTCTGTGTCCATTGGTTATGCATATAAGTTCTTTGGTTTATTTCTTCCCATCCCCCCAACCCCTTTCTCTTTGAGGTTTGTCAGTTTAGCAATGAATTTGTACTTCTTAATCTCTTCACCTTTTTCACCCATTCCCCCAACCCCCCTCCCATCTGGCAACCAACAAAATGTTCTCTGTATCTATGAGAATTTTTCTGTTCTACCTATTCATTTTGTTTGTAGATTCCATTGTTGATAGATATGTATTCATTGCCATTTTGTTTGTTCATATATTTTATCTTTTTCTTCAAAAAGATCCTTCATCATTTCATATAATAACGGTTTGGTGGTGATGAACTCCTTTAACTTTTTCTTGTCTGGGAAAGTTTTTATATGTCCATCGATTCTAAATGACAGCTTTGCAGGATAGAGTAATCTTGGTTGTAGGTTCTTGCTTTTCATCACTTTGAATATTTCTTGCCACTCCCTTCTGGCCTGCAAAGTTTCTTTTGAGAAATCAGCTGACAGCCTTATGGGAACTCCCTTGTAGGTAACTAGCTGCCTTTCTCTTGCTGCTTTTAAGATTCTCTCTTTGTCTTGAACCTTTTGCATTTTGATGATGATGTGTCTTGGTGTGGGTCTCTTGGGGTTCATCTTGTTTGGGACTCTCTGTGCTTTCTGGACTTGTATGTCTGTTTCCTTCACCAAGTTAGGAAAGTTTTCTGCCATTATTGTTTCAAACAGGTTTTCAATTTCTTGTTCTCGCTCTTCTCCTTCGGGCACCCCAAAGATGCGAATGTTGGCATGCTTGAAGTTTTCCCAGAGGCTCCTTACACTATCCTCATTTTTGGGATTGTTTTTTCTTTTTGCTGTTCTGATTGGGCATTTTTTGCTTCCTTATATTCCAAATCGATGGTTTGCTCCTTGGATTTACATACTCTATTATTGAAGCTGTGTAAATTATTCTTTATTTCAGTTAATGCCTCCTTCAATTCTAACTGTGCATCCATGATTTCTGACTGGTCCTTTTTTATGCTCTTGAGGCCCTCCCTAAGTTCACTGAGGTTCTCACTAAGTTCATTGAGCATCCTTACAAGCAGTATTTTGAAGTCAGCATCTGTTAGGTTGCTTATCTCCATTTCGCTTAGTTCTTTTCTTGGGGTTTTGTTCTGTTCTTTCATTTTGGACCTGTTTCTTTGTCTCCTCATTTTGGCTGCCTCCCTGTGTTTGTTTCAGTGTATTACTTAATGAGAGGTATTGGACTCACTGAGACCAGATGCTGCTCGTTTGAAAGAATTTAGAAAAAACCTGAAGCAGGATCCAAGACAGGCCAATCCTATGGTTAAGCAAGTGGCAACAGCTTGGGTGGGCTTGAAAGTTGGGTGGGGTAGGGCGGGGCCTCAGGGAGTCACCAGGGCGGGGCTACCAGTGTGAGCCAGGTTGCTGGAGTCCCAGATATGGCGACTGTCTGCTGCCCCCGGGAAGGGCTCACCAAAGGAACAAAGGCCTCTTACAGCACATTTGTCCCCGAGAAAGCCCCCTCTCCAGCCCTCGCTCCAGTGCCAAACAGCTCAGTTCTTCCCTGTGTGTCTCTGGTGCCCCTCGAGCTGCCTCCCCTCCAAGCTTAGAGGGAGAGAGTCTGATTAAGTTCACGCACGGGCCCTTTAAGGAGCTGCCTGGGGCTCCAGCCGCTTCAGCTTCCCTGAGCCTCAGTTCCCGCTGGTTTTTCCAGCCAGAAGTCATGGGGACTTCTCTTCCTGGCACTGGAACCCTGAGTGGGGCACCTGGTGTGGGACAGGGACCCCTCAGTCCTCAGGAAGGACCTTCCCAGCTGAGGTATCCTCCTGATTTTTATCCGCCACACTTGGGTGTGGGACCCAAGTGCCGCTGCCCCTCCTACCAGTCTGGATGTGGCTGCTGCTTTAATTCCGTAGTTGTAGGACTTCCATTCAGCTTGATTTCAGGCGGTTTTGAATGATGGTTGTTCTGTAGTTTAGTTGTAACTTTGATGTGGTTGTGGGAGGACACGATACCGCATTTACCTACTCCGCCATCTTGACCGGACCCCAACTTTGACTTTTTCATTCCATTCTTTTTTCTTTCAGATTGTCTAGATTTCAGACTATAAACTGTGGGCAAACCAGGTCACCAAAGCTCTTATTAACTCCCTGAGAGCAGCAAATAGTGGGCTTCCAGACATGGAGATAAACCACATGCACCACAGGCCCAACCAGGCTGGGCCCCATCAATTTACAAATCCATCTTATAAATTACAGGCTTGTAGTGCTATAAAAAGAGAAGGACATTTCAAAGGATGAGAGAGAGAGAGACAGAGCAGTCTCTTATTGACCAGAAAGACATTGGGCTGAATAGGAAATCCGCACCTCAAAAAGCTGTGGGATTCAGCTCTTGATTGTGGGAGGCTGTGCATTCTCTTTTAGATATACTTAAAATTCAAGAAGGCCCTTTTCTGTAAGTTAATGAACAGTATTTGATCAAAAGGTATTTCCTACAATTTCAAATAAAGAATTCTAGTTATAATTTGTAGCTAGTACAGGGCATTCTGATAATAATTAGAATAATAAAAGCTTTATTTCTAGAAAATGAAAAACATATGTATAAACGTTTTTTTCTCCTGGGTGCTCAGCTATAGACTCATTACTATTAAGCTGCTGTATCTACAGAAACATACAACAATGGTTCTTCCAGTAGATGACTCCCTTAATTCTATAAGTGTTAACTTAGCACAGAAGTTAGAACATGAACTTTGGAGCTAAAGGCCAGATCCACTACCTACTAGCCATTATTGATTAAGTAACTAGACTGCTCTGGGCTTCAGTTTCTTGGCTACTATTAACACCTACTTTATAGGATTACTGCAAGGATTACATAACTTGTTAGATGTAATGCACTAACAGAGTATTGTAAAATTCCTGGCTACTGTTATCCTTAACATCAGAAATGTACAGCTCTCGGAACAGTACTTGAAGCACAGCTTACTACATCATTGAAGGAAAAGGTTCCTTAAGATGGCTTAGTTCTACTCTTAGGACATATTCAAAGACACCTATATCATTTTCTGTGTGCATTCTAATGATTCCGTCCCTCCTATATGTCTCCATGTACTCTGCGCTCCAGTTAGCCATTTACTCCTTTCCCTCTGGACTATAAATGTCTTGAAAACAGGGACTGTGTCTTACCTTGTAGTCTCAACATCTACCACATAGCCTTGCATAGAGTAGATGCTCTATAAAAACAAAATGAAACAATAAATATTAGCTATTTATCTGTCTACCTCTCTAAAATTAAGTTCCTGAGGAAAGAGGTTACTGAATGTTGATCTCTGCATCCTTAGAGGGGTCTTCTGTACAGTGGCACTATCACCCACATTTTTTTTTTTTATATATCCTCACCCGAGGACATTTTTCGATATTTTGTTCAGATAGAGTGGGAGGGAGAGAAAGAGAGAGAGAGAGAGAGAAACATCGATGTGAAAGGGACACATCGAGTGGTCGCCACCCACACGACCCAACCAGGGCCGGGGACAAACTGCAACCGAGGTACGTGCCCTTAGCAGGAACCGAACCCGGGTCTCTCCAGAACGCAGGCCGACGCTCTAACCGCTGAGCCAAACCAGCTAGGGCCACCCACATTTTGTATCCAAGTTTCTAATTTATTTTGAATTTTATTTGAATTTATTCATGATGCTTTATTTACTTAAACAGAATGTATTTTGAAATGAAACAATTCTTCCCCCTCCCAGAAGTCTTGGTAGAAAGAGAAATACAACTTTTCAATGATATTTTAGTGTTCAAAGTGATAACGACAGAGAGAAGCTATCAATGTCCACTGCATAATCTTTTCCATGCTACTCTGGATGGAGCCGTTGTCAGTAGCCCATCCTCCAGAAACTAGTCAGAACAAAGCCTTTCCTCAAAAAGAGTCACCTTTGACTGCTGTACAGATTTTATTCAGTCAGCACTAATTCCTAGCTCTTTCACAATTATGATGTGTTCACAATTTGAAAATTCTTTCTGCCAACCAGCTTGTGACCGTGCCCAGTTCGGCTTATGACAAACAGCCACCATGAGCAGCACTCTATTGCTGATTTTGTGAAACATGAATTCCGTACTGGCGGCCTTTTCACCATCGATGATCTTCAGTGGGACCTTCAGTCTGATGTCTGACTACTACTACACAGTGGGGCTACCTCCCAGCCTCCTCGAATCTCAAGACACACATATCCCAATGAAAAAAGTAATAACCTTCTGGGAGTCTACATAAACACCTTCCTCTGTTTTCTCAGGGGAAAATAGCGATTTAACATTCCTCTGAGTCATTCTATTACCAGATTACTTCCAGGTGTTAATAATTGGGCCTCTCTACCATAGCATGTCACTTACCTAATATTAGGTCAGAGCACAAATTCACGACTTACATATGATCCCTTCTTCTAATTCTCTTTACTCTAAGTTATTCCTTTTAACTTTACAAGATGAAATTAAGGGGACTTCTTTGTTTAATGAAATTAAAAAATAAAAATGCTATCAAATTGAAACTTCTTTGCTATCCTTGATGCTCTGGTCAGTCAAGGAATTTTAAGGTTAGAAAGAATCTCAGAGAGTCACCTTCTTCATTTAATATCTCTAGCCTAAGGCCCAAAAAAGTTGAGGGTTTGCCATGGACATGGACACACACACACACGAGAGAGAGAGAGAGAGAGAGAGAGAGAGAGAGAGAGAGAACGAGAACCAAAGCTAGAACAAAGATCTCCCTGCCTCCTCAGCCCATATGCTTTCCACATACCATACTAAATGAGTCTCTTGCCAAGAACTTCACCCTAACCTATTCTCTTACTTACTCTTGGTAGTCTAGCTACATAACTTTTTGCTAAAAAACATGAGAAACACAAGTCTTCCATCTCTAAGAATAATTCAGCAAACATCAGTTTTCTTGAAGCTATTACCCCTAACAACTGCTACAGGCTTCTTCCTTTAGTTTCCAAGATAAACCTGAGTGTCTAAGACACCACCTCCCTAAATAGTCCTCAAGTATATTCTGAAAAAAATGATAAATCCCCCATATACAAGCACTCTTATTCTAGAGAAAGAATGAAGCCCAATACCCACTTGAGAGAGTCACATTATAAGGTAAGAATAGCAGCCTGTCAGAGACTTAAAGCAGCAAGAGGACAGCTTCTGTCTTGGTCATTGAACAAACATTAATGGTAATATAAATTCCATACTCTGTGTTACTTGATACAGCCATTGACAAGGACATCTTAGAAAATAAGCCTACTAGTACATAAGTGGTAATATTCTCCAACACAGCACCATAAAATCCATTAATCCAAGAATCTCACACATATTCTGAGTCTTACACTTTGCTATAGCAAATACCAAATACAAACTGTCATACTGTAATTTCAAATTAAACTTTCTCTATTTTTTCCCCTGGTCTAATAAGCAGAAAGTGGACCACAGCGAAAAGGAAAAGAGTGTCTTTTTTTTTAAATCCTCACCCAAGGATATTTTTCCATTGCTTTTCAGAGTGGGAGAGAGAGGGAGGGAGGGACGGGAGGAGGGAGAGAGGGAGAGAGAAAGAGAAACATCGACATGAGAGAGACACATCGATTGGTTGCCTCCCACATGACCCCAACCAGGGCCAGGGATCGAATCACAACCAAGATACATGCCCTTGACTGGAATCGAACCTGTGACTCTGGTCCGTGGGCCAACGCTCTAACTGCTGATCCAAACTGGCCAGGGCAAGAGTCTATTTTTAAGACAGAATATAAAAACAGATCAAGAAAACAATGAGGAGTAATGAAACATGACACAAAAGTATATTTTTAATGACTTTCTTAAAGTTCATTTTGATATATATTTGGAAAACAGTGATAATTTATTGAAAGCTATAACAATCTTACAGTTTTCATAATGTTTATGTCTATATAAAAATTAATGAAATAAATATTTTATAAATTATTTCAAATTACAATTTACTAATAGTCTGAGATTAAACTCTTAGACCATATAAATAAAACAAAGAAACAGAGAAGTAAAAGCCTATTAAGTTTCTTATTTAATACTGAAGGAAAATAAAAGATACCATCTCATTCTTGACTGCTAATTACAAATATTACAGAGATTTATTGTTGTAAAAAACTTAAAAATAATCACTAGCAGATTTCAAAGCAGGCTATTTGCTCTTAGATATATCACAGATTTAAAATATGAATCAAATCAAAATTAAAGATAAACTTTAAATCAAATACCAAAAACAAAATAAAAACAAAAAAGAATTTAATACAAAAAGCTTAAGATCAATGAAGTAAAATCAATTAAATAAATTTTGACAACAAACATAAATGAATTAAAATATTTGTTAAAAGACAAAAGTTCTCACTAGGTTAAAAAATGAAGAAAGTACAAAGTAAAAATATGTAGGGAGAAATATAAACTATGGTAGCAATATCAATGTCAGCTAAAACACAAAGCAACAGGCATAAAATTAGAAAGTCGTATTATTCTGATAAAATGTATAATCCTCAATTGAGATTTTGACAGTAAATAATACATTAACACACATAACAAAAAAACTGACAAAAATACAAACAAAAATTAATGGTAGAAATCACTGATTTATATATTTAAGCCTTTTATAGACCAGACAAACAGTAATTATAGAAAAACTGAACAAGAGAATAAATATTTAGGTATTTTACAAACAAGACAACTTTAAAAATGTCTGTGGAACTATACTAAAACTGATCATAAACAAGTCCATAAAGACAACCTCAAAAATTAGAAATCTGCAATAATGTATATCAATTTATTAATAATTAGTACGTAAAGTTTAAACATAAATAACTTGGAAATTTGAGAAACACTCTCTAAATTAGTACTGCATCAACATAACTCTTGGCATACAATCCTATGCTATTTTAGAAATTATTAATTGGGAGTACACACCAAAAATATATTAAATATGGTCAAACAGTACACAGAGAAAAACACAGAGAAGTCTTAAATGCTTTCATTTATAGACTTTCTGCCATCAAAAAGATGCTGAAAAATACAATAGCTCAAGTTAGAAAATTTTCTTTTTCATGTCACAATACAGTGTGGCAGGGAGAAGTGTACTCCACAAGATCATTCTGGGACCCAGGATGTCTCTATCATCCTCCACATGGCTTCCATCTCTGAAAGGTGGTTGCTATACCTGATGTACCACCAACCAGCAGAGAAGAAAAAAAGAAAGTCTAGGTCAAGTGGCTTGTCTTTAAGGAGGTAACCTTACACACCTCACCATTCATCTCTCATGAGTCACAAAGTCACATCCTGTTAAGAAAGAAGCAGAGTGCTGTTGCATCTAGGTGGCCATCCATATATGTGCTCAGGTAAAATATAGGGCTTCTATTCCTAAAAGGAAGAATAGATTCTAAGGAGCATCAAGGAGTCTTCCACATATTCTTTCTAGTTAAAAAATAAATAGAAAGAACAATAAAACAAAACCAAGAACAAATTATATGTGATTACTTCATTTTAGCTGGATTCTCAGTGCCAAAAACACTACCACACATCATTTAAGAAATTAGAAAAGTACATCAATGAATTCTAAGGATGCAAGGGTCCCATTCCAATACATCAAATCATAGGCTAGAAAGTATACTGAGAATTCATCTTCTCTCCTTCCTAATTAAGAATATGTAATTCATGTATAATTGTTTATATTGTGTATACTGATTTATCTAAATGGATTTTTCAGGTTGACTAAGTTTTAGCCTTACACAGAGGTTTTCTAACATTAGTCAGAAGTTAATCTTTGGTTAGTATAACAACTTTCAAAATTTATATTTAAAAATACTACTGTAATTGTTTTTATATTACTGAATTATATATATAGTTTAAATTTTTTTTCTTTGATTTTAGAGAGAGAGGAAGGGAGAGGGAGAGAGAGATAAAAATACTGATGAAAGAGAACATCAACTGGCTGCCTCCTGTATATCCCCCTCCCCCAATGGGGATTGGGTCCACAACCTGGGCATGTGCCCTGACAGAGAATCGAACTGATGACCTTTTGGTTCATGGGTCGATGCTCAACCACTGAGCCACACCAGCCGGGCATATTACTGAATTATATTTTATATACAGTAAAATATATACCTTTTAAGTGTATATTACAATGAATTTTAGAAACACCTATATCCATATAATCACCACGATAGCCAGGATATAGAACACATTCATTATGCCCAAATGTTCCCTTGTGCCCCATCCAGCTCAATCACACTCCAATCTCAGCTACAGCAACAACTGTTTGCTTATTATCACTATAGATTAAATCTGGCTTTTCCAGCATTTCTTATATAATAATTCAGGGCAGTAAATAGAATCACAGAATTTATATTCTTTTGTATTTTATTCACCATAATGTTTTTCAGATTTCTTAGCGTTCTTTTGTATATCAGTACTTTAACCCCCTTATATTGTTGAATAGTGTTCCATAGCATGGATAATCCCCAATGGTTTTTATCCATTCACTAGTTGATGGACATTTAAGCTGTTTCCAGCTTGGGGCTATTATGAATAAAGCCACTATGAACATTCTTATATAAGTGTATCTGTGAACATGTTTTCATTACTCTTGGATAAATATTTACAAGTAAAATTATAGTAATTTTACTATATAGTAATATGGTAAACATTATATATTTATAGTAATAAATGTTTCATTTTTAACACACTGCCAAACTATTTTCTAAAATGGTTTTATCATTTTCCTTTCCCATTAGCAACATATGAAAGTTTCGATCAGTCTACAACTCACCTAACACTTGTTCTTTCTTAATTTTTAATTTTGGCTATTTCGATAATATAATAGTATCTCATGGTATTGATCTGCATTTTTCTGATGTCTAATAATGCTAAACCCCTTTTCCTGTGCTGCATTGGCCATTCATTATTCTCTTGTGCTATTCATTTAATCAGGTTGTCTTAATATTAATAAGCTGTAAGAAATCTATATATATTCTGGCCATAATTCATTTGTCAGATGTATGTATTAAGAATATGCTCTCTCTGTTTAAATACTGTCTTTTCATTTTCTTATCAATGTCTTTTAAAGAACAGAAGTGTTGAATTTTCAAAGAGTCCCATTTGTCAATTTTTCCTTTATGATTCATGGTTTTTTTTCCCCCTTTTCCTCTTTTTATTTTTATATTACAGTTCAAGTACAGTATTATGAGTTTCAGGTGTATAACCCTGTGATTAGACAGAAGTGATCACCTCGATAAACATGGTACCCATCTTATACCATATATAGTTATTATAATATTATTCACTATATTCCTTATGCTGTATTTTACATACCTGTGATTTTTATTCTTTCAATTTATTTTTATTATTTAAAGTATTACAGGTGTTTCCTCTTCCCACCCCCATTTACACATTTCACCTCATTCCCATTGCCCTCCTGCCTTCCGTACACTATTGTCTGTGTCTATTGGTTATGCATATATGCATATAAGTTCTTTGGCTTATCTCTTCCTGCCCGCCCCCCACCCACTCACTTACCTCTGAGGTTGTCATTCTAACAACCAATTTATACTTCTTACTCCCTTCATCTTTCTCGCCCATCCCCCAACCCACCTCCTGTCTGGAAATGAACAAAATGTTTTCTGTATCAATGAGTCTGTTTCTGTTCTGCTTGTTCATTTGGTTTGTAAATTCAATTGTTGACAGATATGTATTCATTGCCATGTTATTGTTCATATTTTTGATCTTCTTCTTCAAGAAGACCCTTCAACATTTCATATAATACTGGTTTAGTGGTGGTGAACTCCTTTAGCTTTTTCTTGTCTGGGAAGCTCTTTATATGTCCATTGATTCTAAATGAGAGCTTTCCAGGGTACAGTAATCTTAGTTATAGTTCCTTGCTTTTCATCACTTTGAATATTTCTTGCCACTCCCTTCTGGCCTACAAAGTTTCTTTTGAGAAATCAGCTGACACTGTTATGGGAGCTCCCTTGTAAGTAACTAACTGCTTTTCTCTTGCTGCTTTTAAGATTCTTTCTTTGTCTTTAACCTTTTATATTTCAACTATGTGTCTTGGTGTGGGCCTGTTTGAGTTCCTCTTATTTGGGACTCTCTGTGTTTCCTGGACTTGAATATCTGTTTCCTTTATGAAACTAGGGAAAACTCAATTTCAGGCAGTTCTGAATGCCGGTTGTTCTATAGTTTAGTTGTAATTCTGATGTGGTTGTGGGAGGAGGCAAGTACTGTGGTTACCTACATACTGCCATCTTGACTGGAAGTCCCCATGGTTCATGCTTTCTATTGTCCTAAAAAATCTTTGCTTATCCCAAATTCATGAATATTTTCTCCTGTGATTTTTCTTCTTTTTTTATCCTCACCTGAGGACATTTTTCCAGTTTTTCTTTTTGGTCAGATAAAGTGGGAGGGAGAGAGAGGAAGAGAGAGAGAGAGAAACATTGACGTGAAAGGGACACATCAAGTGGCTGCCACCAGCATGACCAACCAGGGCCGGGGACAAACTGCAACCGAGGTATGTGCCCTTAGCGGGAACCGAACCAGAAACAAGGTCTCTCTGGACCGCAGGCCAATGCTCTAACCACTGAGCAAAACTGGCCAGGGCCTGTGATTTTTTCTTAAAGTTTGATACTTTTGCTCTTTTATAATTAGAAACATGGTTCTTTTCATGTTATTTTGTATAAAGAAGAGGTAATGATTGCAGTTAATTTAATTTTCTTTTTTACATTTCGATATCCAGATGTTCTAGTATCATTTGCTGAAAAGACTATCCTGTCTCTATTGAATAATCTTGTCAAGGTTATCAAAAATCAATTGATCATCTATATGTGTGATCTGCTTCTGGATTTTTTTTTTTTTTTTTTTTAATTATTTTTTTTTGTTATCCTCACCCGAGGATATTTTTCCACTTTTTGTACAGATTGAGTGGGAGGGAGAGAGAGGAAGGGAGAGAGAGAGAGAAACATCGACGTGAAGGGACACATCGAGTGGCTGCCACCCGCACGACCAACCAGGGCCGGGGACAAACTGCAACCGAGGTACATGCCCCTAGCGGGAACCGAACCCGGGTCTCTCCAGACCGCAGGCCGACGCTCTAACCGCTGAGCCAAACTGGCCAGGGCTGCTTCTGGATTTTTTTAAAAAATTTTATTTCATCCTTTAATAACTACATATCTTATTCCAAATAGATGTTCACATGGTAGTTATCATTTGGTTTGTTATTTTATTTACTCATTTTTTATTATTAAGTTCTTATAACAAGATATAATAAGACTTTTTTTTTTTTACTATTTTATTAAATTTATTGGGGTGGTACTGGTTAATAAAATTATATAGATTTCAGGTGTACAATTCTATAATATACCATCTGCACATTGTATTGTGTGTTCACCCCAAGTCAAGTCTCCTTACATCACTACTTATCTCCTCCAGCCCTCTTCTACCTCCCTCTACCCCTCTTTCCCTCTGGTAATCACTATACTGTTGTCTGTGTCTATGAGTTTTTTTTGTTTTGTTTTGTTTTTTGCTTAATCCCTTCATGTTTTTCACCCATCTAAACAATCCCTTACCTTTCTGATAGCTGTCAGTCTGTTCTCTATCTATGAGTCTGTTTCTATTTTGTTTGTTAGTTTATTTTGTTCATTAGATTCCATATATGAGTAAAACCACATGTTACTTGTCTTTCTTTGACTGGCTTATTTCACTTAGCATAATGCCCTCCAGGTCCATCCATGCTGTAGCAAGGTATAAGATTTCCTTCCTTTTTTTATGGCTGAGTAGTATTACATTGTGTAAATGTACCACAGCTTTTTTATCCACTCATCTACTGATGGACACTTGGGCTGCTTCCAAATCTTGGCTAGTGTAAATAATGCTACAACAGACTGAATGTCCTCACAGGTGAGTTTTCCCAATCATTCAAAGAAGAACTAAAACCTATCCTTCTCAAACTTTCAAAAATCCAAGAGATGGGAAGACACCCAAGCTCATTTCATGAGGTCACCATTATCTTAATTCCAAAACCAGATGAACACAGACACTAAAACCCTCAAGAAAATATTAGAAAACTAGATTGATCAATACATTAAAAAGATCCTATGCCATGATCAAGTGGGATTTATTCCAGCGATGCAAGGTTGGGACAATATCCACAAATCAATAGATGTGATACACCATATAAACAAAAAGAAGGCTATAAATTACATGATCATATCATTTAATAGATACAGAAAAAGCATTTGATAAGATCCAGCACGTATTTATAATAAAAATTCTCAGCAAAGTGGGAATAGAGGGAACATACCTCAACGTAATAAAGGCCATATATGACAAACCCTGAGTCAATATCATACTCAATGGGAAAAAACTAC